TGGACAAGTGACCGATTTCAGCCGTGGCTTCAGCGTCTATTTTATAGTGTAGGGGGCGGGCGCTTCGGATTCTAGAGAGCATTTGATTGGACAGAAAGTTTGATGAGAAGCAGAAGTATGATGTGACGTAAAAAAAATCGGAAGTGATGAACTGCAAGCTTTGAATGCTTATATCTTCTAAATGCGAATCTTGTTACTGTTTTGGAGCACACTGCCTTATAGATAACCTTAAGACTAACATATTGATACTAACACCCAAAAAACTTTAGTCAACAACATTTGTGGCAGAATGTTGATTGCTACAACAATACAAATTAGATTCTTCTCTTTTATTTAAAAAAAGGAAAAATAAGAAACGTAACCTACAATGGAATTAAATTGGGCACATTTTCTATTGCTTGTGTATTATTTGAGCTGTCAAGATGTTTTCTCCATTTTTGTGATTGTTTTAAGGTCGTAGGCGTTATTTTGTCAAGTTGTAAAGTTGCACGTACTCTACTCTTCAAAAGGTGGTAGTTTTTTTTTTTTTTGAAATATTTTTGAATGAAGTATCATGCTCACCAAGACTGAATTTATTTGATCAAAATACAGTAAGACAGGAATATTGTGAAATATTATTACAATTTAAAACAACTGATTTCTACTGTAATACGTTTTAAAATGTAATTTATTCCTATGATGGCAAAGCAAAATGATCAGCATCATTATGCCAGTCTTCAGTGTCACATGATCCTTCAGAAATCATTCTAATATGCTGATTTGCTGCTCAAGAAATATTTCCTATTATTATTATCAATGTTGGAAACTGTTGTGCTTAATAATGTTTTTGTGGGAAACTGTGATGCTTTTCTCAGTATACAACATTTATTTGAAGAATAAATATTTTGTAACAATTTAAAAGTCTTTACTATCACTTTAATATCAATTTAATGCATCTTCGATTTTTTTGAACAGCAGTTTACATAGAATTATAATTTTTTTTTTCATACAGCAACCATGTTATCATGCTTATTATTTGCATCTTGTGGCCAAACCTTTGAAACAGTGATCCGCTGTAAGTGTCTCTTTTCATTTTTGGGTGAACTGTCCCTTTAAAATACCCCACCCCCCCCTCCATATCCCAAACACATCCTATACCAACACTCGCATACGTTCATGTACTGATAAATGACTCCCGCTGCATCCTGCCTGTCTTCAATTTCCACGTTTTCATTTCCCCTCCTTCTCGCTTGTTCCTTGTCCAACATGACATCTTGGAGCACTAAAGCTCATTGCTCCTTTCTGTAGAGTTACTGTCTGCCCGCCGCCAGTTGCAGAGCAAACGCTATTGCTTTCAATGCAGCTTGATTACATCATAGAGAACAAATGATGCCAGAGCTGCTGGTGACAACATGTGTGGGCAGGAAGTGAAGCTCTGCCACAGTACAGCAGCCTTCATGGGAAATGGCTTTCTCTCTCATAGTAACTATGTCGTCACCCATAAAGAGAAATTATCCCACCAAGCGGTTTCCTG